TTTCTGATGAGAACTGCATGACCATTTAATGGTGAATTTGGAGAGGGGGGGCGGGGTAGGTGATAACAATTATAATGTACAGTAGCAGCATGGTATAGTATACATATCCTTGATACTTAAAATAGAGTAAAAGAGTAAACAAACAACTCATTTTGTGAAAATGTTTTTTTTTTTTTTCATTTCCTCTCTATAAAAATAAACTATCACAAATTGAATTCAATATATGTTGATATACTAGTACATCAGGCTTCATTCTTCACAGGTTTCGCTTTCCAAAGTTTCAATGCGACTAGTGGTTTAAGAAACTTGCGTACTATTAAATATGAAATCCAGATCTAATCCACACTATACTTACACCTATAAGCACTATTCCTTGCCCGTTTCCTCATCTTCTACATCACTGTCCTGCAATGGATGTCTCTCTGACACAATTGACTTGACAACTAGATAGGGACACAAAAGTCTGTCAGAATGGGTACCTAATCATTAAAATTCTGCCCAAAACACCGAAAATATACTCCAAATCGATCTAGAGGGCAGCCTAACTGTGAAAAGGATAATCATAAAAATGAAATAAATTTGGCATATTCATATGGTTTTAATTCAGTAGATGAGTTCAAAACATAAATTAATTCTATGATTTCATAACAAATAAATTATTGGAATCTAAAAATATTGAGTTATTGGATGAATATTCATATTTGAAAAAAAAAATAAGAGCATGCTGACTTTCAATACTTTCTAAAACAACAAAGATGTGTAAAATCCCAAACCACTGAAAATATTAAACTTATGCATGGTGAATGGTTTCAATTAGGAGTGGTTAAGGGGTGATATGGGACTCGTACACAATGCATGTGAAATATAGTGTTTGTTTACATGGAATTCAAAAATATGCTCAGCAACACCCTCCATCCTTTAATAATTATTGCCAGAACTAGAAAATACATGAGTGTGCAACTTATGTCAGGATGATTATTCCTTGGTCCCATTGATGGTCGAAAGTTATAAAAGAAACCACTTTGTAACAATTATAAGTATGAAATCATGAAGTTAGAAAGTCATTCCGCCATTTGTTCAGTATCAGCACGGCATACCAAAAATATGAAAGTCAACACTCCAGGCCAATTATTTTTTTAAAAACATCAGTCCAAGTTAAAACTATCAAATCTATAATCTCCGACACCCCAAAAAAAGTTTTTGAATCAAGACCAAAATGATCAGGACTGTTGAAGAATGCAGTAGAGGTCAAAGTGTGTAAAGTTCATGATTCTCAGAGAGGTCACTGGTTATTATTTATGCAGTGATTGCATAATAATTGTAAATAAGTTCAATATCGTTCTGGAGGTTAAAGCTAGAGTAAAATGTACTAAAGGTCAATGTTACAAGTGACATGTTTAATGGTTGAAGATCGCATTAGATTCAAAGACGCAGACAATTAAGATCAAGTTAAGTTAATAGAGGTGAAGTTAATATGTGATGGGGAAAAAGAAAGGTCAAATTTTTTGTTAAAATATAGTATAGGTTAAGGTTGAAGGTGAAGATGATCAAAGGTCATTGGTTTTTATTAGTTGTGCAGTAAGTTACATAAAGCAGCAGAGGTCAAAGTTAGAAGGTCAAGGGTGATCACACTAGGTCATTAGTTAATATTTGTGCAGTGACTTAATGCATCAAAATATTACGATACAAAATACCCGGTAGGCAGTGTCAAAGATGTTCAAGGGTCAAGGGTCAAGGGTCAATAATGGGAAGTCATCATTGTTGTAGCACAGTTGATGTAGATCAATAATTGCGGCCTGCAAATTGCAAATACAATTGAAGGAACATGACAGGAAGATGTATGTATAGGCTTCAATTTTATTTAATTTTTTTTTTTTTAAATTCCCATTTTTTTTAAATTTATTTTTAATACATATACAGTATTTTGGTTTGTTTACGAATATTATTTTTTTCACTTGTCGTTATTAATTTATACAATACATTCAAAAGTAAGCCTATACATACCTACATTGAATTTTAATTAGATTTTATATCAAGATGTATCCCTATTTTAATATATGAAGCCATATGAATGTTGGAATACTCCCATGATGCATCTCACTAATGTATATAACACAAGAGGGAGCTCAAGCTCAAATTAAAACTTACAGCATTTACAAAAATGACTTCCCCTTTTATTGATGTGTCAAAGGTTACAGAAGGTCAAAGTTAATAGTTAGACAGTGATTCTGTGTGACATGTTAAAACTACACTCTGAGAGTATTCATAGAGCTTTATTCGGATCTTAGAACTAAATGACTTGATGGTCTGATGTTCTGCACTGTTGAGAAGAGAACTACGTTTCACTCGGATTCAGATGAGTTTTAAATAAGTGTATCTGCAGTAATTCAGAACAGAAGTGAATCTTAGTGTATCCAAGTGTGTGTGTATTCAAAAACTTCAGCAAAAAAAATTCAAACACAACATCAAATAGAATTGTTTAAGCTGAAATGATCGTCATTATTTGCAGTGCTAAAAATCGGGTTAAATATTTCTCACAAATAGTTCCCAAGACCCTAATATAGCTTATAAATGCTCTCAGAGTGGAACATTAAAGCGGAGGGCGGTCATCACCTGTGCATACGTTGGAATCGAGTCTTCAGCGATTATAGCAATACATTCAAAACGCAAACGCTCATGGGTAGATGCTTGTAAACAACAACATGCAATGAACGTCTGCCAAACGCACAGGTGATGACCCCCTCATGTTAGAAAGAGACCATAGAGAAAATCAGAGTTCAAGGTATACATGGAATAGACACATATACTATTATTATACATCTGTCACCGTAACGCCACAAGTTACAGCGTGCCGTTATTTTGCGGTATTTTACGGGGTATTTTCATTCTACCATGTAAAGAAATGTGAAATGATTACGCACGTAAGCGTCCTCTAATAATAAAAACAAACATGGCTGCCACCAGAGTTTGACCGGACTACACACAAAGAAGTTCGCAGATTCTGTTCTAAACATTTTGAATTTCGGCATTCCCATGATGTATCC